GCGCTGCACACCGGGAACGCACTGTAAATGGGATGGAACGCGTATTTCTAGCATATCGCTACGAGCCCTCTGGAGGTCGTCGTTCTCAGAGGTATAATCTCTGAGCAGCCGAATGTCGTTCTCAGACGCTCTGGTAACCGTCTCGTCGTAGCCCGACAATCTGTCTGGGAGGTTTCCGAGGCAGTAGAGCAGGTCGTAGAAGTCGTCGGGGTTGTCGACGAGGTTGACGGCGTCGGTCATAACACAGCCAGCCTGGTCCCAGCGAAACGCGCGAATCCACTCGCCCGAGATGTAGAAGCTTATGACGTGCAGCCGGTGCTGACGTAGCATGATTTGCGCCGCATACTTAGCATGCTGCGCTCGTGCTTTGTTCCCATTGTCCGATTTATGCAAGCTCTCGGCCGCCGAGCGGGGTATGATCTTCTCTTCCTGCACCGCGGCGGGGGGCGCCATCTCTACAGCCTCTTCGGCAGGCGCAGCTGCAGGAGCGGCGCTTTCGGCATCGTTTCTGGTAGCAGCCCGTGTTCGGGGCTTGCTTGGTTGTCGTACACCGGCGACCACCTTGGCCTTCTGAGGATGGGTCGCCACAGCCTGAGACGTCGTCTGTCCACCCTTCCCTTTCCCGGAACTAGCTTTCACCTGAGGCTCTTCATGCAACTCCCCCGCGCCTCGAGCGTTCTTTGCCTTCTGTCTTTTGTTCGCCCGAGGTTGGTCGGGAGGCTTGAAGGAGAAGCCTGCCTCAGTGTCGTCCGTTTTGACTTCGAGAGGCGCAATGATGTAGGCCCACGCACAGCGCGCGGCGTCGGGGTGCTTCTTTAGGTCACTCGGCGATAGCCCATAGGCCTTCTGAGCCTCTGGATCGTCATCGCCGGCGTACAGCGCGAAATCGGGCTTGCTGTCGAAAGCGCCGTTCTCAACATGGTTGGCGGTAATCTTAAACCTTGCCTTCGAGCTGGTCAGACTGAGGACAGAGTTGAAACTTTTGTGCTATTCCGCAAAAAGTCAGAGAAGATAGCTTGCTACGAGCGAAGGTAGGACGCACGATAATGGGATACATCGAGCTCTCAAGTCTCCGTCCAGGCTTGGGTTTGGGGCCGCCAGTAACCACCGGCGTTTTGCCCTTTGGCACGCCGCCGCCGCTGCCGGAGTCTTCCTCCAACGTGTCCCCTACGTCGCCGATGGAGTCGTCGTTCTCCTCGAGCGAGAAATCGCGTGTGTCTGCGGGGGCCGCGGCACCAGCACCCTCCTCGGCACCCTCTCCACCCATACGAGATGGTCCAGCAACGGGCGCTCCATCCAACGGTGTTCCTCGATCTGCTGCCTTAGCCGTAGCGGCTACCGCAGCCTCGCCGAAGGTCTTGTTCTTCTCGCGGGTAGCGACAGTTCGCGAGACGATGCCGCGGAGTGGCTCAATGCTGACGATTCGCTCCCTCTGCGCTGCAGTGAGGCAAGAGCCGGGGACGAATTTCCTTCGGAATTGCTTCATCGTCACCAGGACGTACTGCGAATCCATAATCTTGTTGATATGTTCTTCGTAGGCCTTTCCCTTGAACGGGCTCTTGTTTGGTAAGATGAGCGGACGAGGAGGGCCGCGGTTTCTCTCCGTGTTCTGGGAGCACTGGTCGACTTTTCCTTCGTCGTCGTAGATAACGCCGTTGTAGGTACGAAAGTAAATGAGTTTGTCGCGTTCCAAGGCTTCAATCTGACCGCGAAGGGCTGGATCTAATTCAAGCAGCTTGTTGAGGTCGGAGAACGAGGGCAGAGCGAAAACAAGCTCCTCGTCGTCGTCGTCGTCGATGTCTGCGTCCAAGTTTCCTGGACCGGGTTCGGTAGGAATCTCTGCGGGAAGGTGAGGCTCCATGGCAAGGTGTGGGGGTCAAGGGCACGCACGAGCTCCGTGTTCTATAGTCCTTGACAGGGCGGTGCAAGGGGCGGTACGACAGGCACGTGAGTACAAAAGCCTGCCTGATAAGATGATTGGCCGTCCTCGTGCACGCTCTGCCGTCGGCAGTACAAAAGCTGGTTGCCTACAGCGACAGTGCGCTGCAGTGACCAGTTACCTTATTCAACGCTGAACTTTCTAGACGCCTGCAGGAAGCGCTGATACCGGCGTATGCCGCCCCTTCTGCCGTGGTAATCTCAGATTAGCACGACCACGTGACCCGTGAGATTTCCCCGGCTAAACTTCTGACCACCAACAGTAACCTTTGCGTGATTTAAATTCATCTTTTAGTGCTAACGAGCTTCATAAGGCTCAAGCATTCGACGATACAAGCTCAAGTTACGTTCACTCACGGCTCTGCTCAGCAGATCCAACGGCGTTTGAAAGGCCGCGAGTACAATACCATGAGAACGTTCTCACGAGATGGCACGGCAGATAGAGAGCGTAATGACACCGAAGGAAAATACTCAGAGTATAATTGGCTCGTGAAACTCGTGACGCTTAGATCACGAATTAGTGGTAAGATACCCCAGTTGAAGCCAAGAGTTAGCAGAGGAAGACGAACGTTTTGCCCATCTTGGCTTCCAACAACAAATCAGGCCTCGGAGAACGAGATTCACTTTTTCCAAATGCAGAGCGCACCTACAGTGGCCTAAGAAGCGTCGCGTTGCGAAGTCAACGTGGGACTGAACAAGGTCGAACACGAACAATGTACCAAAATCGCTATTGTTCCGTATTAGCTACTCACCAGCCCGTGTCTTCGGTTCCACCACCTCGATGAGAATCTTAGACGTAGACGTATGGAAAAGGTCTGCATCACAAAAACGTGAGAGACGAACGTTGCCGTGGGAGTGCATGGATTGGTAGATCTGAGAAGGCGCACAAAGCGAACGATCACGCTGCTTCCTTTGCTCCTATGCTTGACGATGCTTAAGACACATTTCATCGAAAATCTACAACTACAGCCGCATCACCGTCCAGTCTAGATAGACGCGCGTACTTACACTCGGAACAATACCCTGAATTTTTGAGGATTTTGTGTGCTGCCGCCGTTCGTGTCGCCAACTCAACGCGAGACAAATAGTTCAAGGATAACACTATTGCTTATTCCAACGTCTGTACGGGTAGATGTCATGTTCGCAACACAACGAGAATATATTCGAATACATGCTACGAGATGGTTTCCAGATATTCCTATTGCCACATCAGGACCTCTCAGCAATTCCACAGAGGTGACACATACCAGAATACAACGCGCTCTCGCCTCCGCTCGGGAACGCAGACATCCGCTACGCGCCCACCCTCCCGAGACCCTTCTCCGCCAGCTCACGCGCCCAAGTCCTCAAAACATGCTTCATCACCTTCCCGCTCGCCGTCTTCGGCAGCCCCATGAACTTGCGCACGCCCCCAACATCGCTCTTTTCCTTCTCCTCCCCGCGCGAACGCACCTCCTCGGGGAGCTCGC